TACCAGATCATGAAACATGAAACCTAAATCTTTATCGCCTTCCTTTGGTGGTATCCAAATATTTCTTTAAAAACCATCAGGTTTGCACCACACTGTTTTTCATCTAGCCTTTGTTTTTCTATCAAGAATTATTATTTTTTTAATAGTAGATAATAACAATCCTCTTTGACAACTTGACCCAGTTTTAACATAAAAAAGAAAAGAATTAATACAAATCATATTTCAAAGACATGTATTATTTCACTTGACAATTGTAAACAGATTTACTTGCTTTGCATAAACTTTCAATGATTGCAAAACTAACTGTAGTAAGAAGAGCATTAAAAAGCCCTTTTCAAATACATATCATGTTTAGTTGTATTGCAGACTATTACAGAAAAGTGTAACATATTTACACTGAAACGTGTGTCATTAATTGTGGCGTGACACTCATGAACAGTTGATCTGCAGCAGGAAATTGCTTTAATTTTAAATCATCTTTGTGTAAATGGGGTCTTAAATGATCTTTGAAATCATCCTGAAAAATGTTGATCTGTGTATTATTTAGGAAAGCATATTAGAACAGGCAATATTAACAGTAGGTGTAATTAAAGTGATTTTTTTATTTTTTTTTTCATTATTTTACCTCTTGTGTTTCTGCTGTGTTTTGTTTTATTTATTTATTTATCAGGAATTTAAGTAACAATAAAATCAGCATCCTCGAACCTGGCTGCTTTGAAAACATCTCCAGCTCCCTGTTGGTCCTGAGGCTGAACAGGAACAGATTAGTTGTGCTGCCACCCAAAGYCTTCAAGCTTCCACAGCTTCAGATCCTGTAAGCATCAAGTGAAATTTTGAATCCTCTGTTTTAGTGGTTTGTTTGAGCCACTTTTCCTTTTTGTTCCAAGAAACTCTGGAAACGGTTTTAAATATTCTGGCACTTCCATGTAGTCGTTTTTAGTTTTGTCTGTTAAAGGTTGAAGAAAATAGTTGTGCATTCTGCTTCTCCCCTGTAGAGAAATGAAGCGCAATAAGATCAAGRTTGTGGATAGCTTGACATTCAAAGGGATGGATTCACTGAAGTCGCTGAAGATGCAGAGAAATGGCATCACAAAGCTCATGGATGGAGCCTTTTTTGGACTGAACAACATTGAAGAATTGTGAGTAAAATGTTGCTTTAAAAAAAACAACTTTCAGTTGTATATCCATTGTAACCGAGGAGAAGTTGACGACTGTCTGTAAAAGGCACAACATATTTAATCATCATGATTTCCCCGTCCAATTTATTTAAAATGACAGTTTCTTGCAGTCAGAATTATATTCTGAGTTTTTTTTTTCTGTCTTTCGTTGAATCGTTTCAGAGAGTTGGAGCACAACAACCTGACTGAAGTCAACAAAGGATGGCTGTACGGCCTCCGCATGCTGCGCAYCCTGAGAATCAACCACAATGCTGTTGGCATCCTCCGACCTGATGCCTGGGAGTTTTGCCAAAAACTCGAGGAACTGTGAGTGTTTCTTTCTCAGGTCAAACCCACTTATATCAAAGATACCCCACCTACTTTTATCTCACCCTGACCTTTTAGGTTCATTCTCTGAATCATATATAATATATGCTGTCAGTTTATTAGCATGTCCAGGATTTATACAGAAAAGTTCAATAAAAGGATCTGAGCTGCTATTTGCTCATATTTTTGAATATTTGTTGCAGAGACCTGTCCCATAATCGCTTGACTCGACTCGAGGAGACGGCTTTTGTAGGATTAGGTCTCCTGGAGAACCTGAACCTGGGGGAGAACTCCATCAGCCACTTGGGAGAGGGAGTGTTCAGCAGCTTGGCAAGTCTGCACATCTTGTGAGTGTTTTTTTTTTTTTTTTGCCCTGCAGAAATCTGCCTGAATCTTTAATGAATTATGGTTTTAAAAAAATGCGAAGAAGCTGAGATTGCTTAATAAATGTGAGTGTTGACTTGTCTTTGACTTAAGTCTCACAAAGACTGCTGACTACTGTAGCTCCGTGTTTGTTTTGTTCTTTCTGTGTATTTCTAATCCTGTCTTGAATATTTCAATGAATTCTTTCTTGGTTTAGAGAAATTGGTGGGCATTGCCAACATTTTATCCCTAACATGGTTGTGTGGTAATCCTGCTTGTCCTTTTAGTTGTTTGTCAAATTARATCACTCACTGTGGAGTTTTTGATAGATCTGTTCTCCTGGTTTTGGTTCTGAAGTAGAGAAGGAAGAGTGTTCGACAGCCAGAAGAGGTGCTTTTATGATTAGCATGTATTAACATTTATTGAATGTGGYTTTCTGCTAAGTAGACTCTGATGGATTAAGGCTGCATATGCAGTCCTAATCAGTCTTGCTAATGGAGTATTTACGTTGCCATATAAGAGCTGTGTACGTGTCACGCATGTGGATCTTGAGGTTTCTACACTGTAGCTGATTTGGAGGCAAAGTTAATGGAACCTGCTGGAAAAGAGCCGTAGGTTTTGAACATTCACATKACGACAGGCTTTCAAATTTTTTGATATAATAGGATATTAGCCTGATTAAGCAAAAATGTAATTTGCATAATTTCTTTGTAAGGTGCAAAGTGTTTAAAGGGGCAATATTATGTGTTTCTCAGGCATATATTTAAATACTACACTCACCGGCCACTTTATTAGGTACACCACGCCAGTAACGGGTTGGACCCCCTTTTGCCTTCAGAACTGCCTCAATTCTTCGTGGCATAGATTCAACAAGGTGCTGGAAGCATTCCTCAGAGATTTTGGTCCATATTGACATGATGGCATCACACAGTTGCCGCAGATTTGTCGGCTGCACATCCATGATGCGAATCTCCCGTTCCACCACATCCCAAAGATGCTCTATTGGATTGAGATCTGGTGACTGTGGAGGCCATTTGAGTACAGTGAACTCATTGTCATGTTCAAGAAACCAGTCTGAGATGATTCCAGCTTTGACATGGTGCATTATCCTGCTGAAAGTAGCCATCAGATGTTGGGTACATTGTGGTCATAAAGGGATGGACATGGTCAGCAACAATACTCAGGTAGGCTGTGGCGTTGCAACAATGCTCAATTGGTACCAAGGGGCCCAAAGAGTGCCAAGAAAAGATTCCCCACACCATGACACCACCACCACCAGCCTGAACCGTTGATACAAGGCAGGATGGATCCATGCTTTCATGTTGTTGACGCCGAATTCTGACCCTACCATCCGAATGTCGCAGCAGAAATCGAGACTCATCAGACCAGGCAACGTTTTTCCAATCTTCTCTTGTCCAATTTCGATGAGCTTGTGCAAATTGTAGCCTCAGTTTCCTGTTCTTAGCTGAAAGGAGTGGCACCCGGTGTGGTCTTCTTCTGCTGAAGCCCATCTGCCTCAAAGTTCGACGTACTGTGCGTTCAGAGATGCTCTTCTGCCTACCTTGGTTGTAACGGGTGGTTATTTGAGTCACTGTTGCCTTTCTATCAGCTCGAACCAGTCTGCCCATTCTCCTCTGACCTCTGGCATCAACAAGGCATTTCCGCCCACAGGACTGCCGCTCACTGGATGTTTTTTCTTTTTCGGACCATTCTCTGTAAACCCTAGAGATGGTTGTGCGTGAAAATCCCAGTAGATCAGCAGTTTCTGAAATACTCAGACCAGCCCTTCTGGCACCAACAACCATGCCACGTTCAAAGGCACTCAAATCACCTTTCTTCCCCATACTGATGCTCGGTTTGAACTGCAGGAGATTGTCTTGACCATGTCTACATGCCTAAATGCACTGAGTTGCCGCCATGTGATTGGCTGATTAGAAATTAAGTGTTAACGAGCAGTTGGACAGGTGTACCTAATAAAGTGGCCGGTGAGTGTATATCATAATAAAGTATCTATGTCACCTTTAGCTGTTATTAAAATGCTGTTTTTATGTTTAAATAGAAAATAAACTTATCTTATCACTTCCTCTTTTAAACGCCTTGAAATTGGCCTCTGTCTCTTTAAGAACCACCTTCGCTTCTGTCTTGCCCATTTCGGTGCGGGGTGGGGGGTTCGCGCTCACGGGGGGGGCATGATGCAGTTTACTTGGCATCTGAAAATACATTTCCTCAAATGTATTTTTAATCTGAAAATAGCTTCACTGAATGAGAACTAATGTTGAGAACTCAGCAGATAGTTAAGTTTCACTTTCACCCGAGAGCCTGCAGGAGTCATGGACGGGGGTGGGGGGCTCCTCCATCAGGAAGTTCAGCTTAAAGACACGTCCCAGGGGCGTTTCTGGTACCAAAAGGCATTTCTGGTCCCCACCTGTCGTTTTGCTCCTCAGCGTGGCTTCCTAAAAACACTGCAGGATTCCTCAAACATGCATGAATGAGTCAAAGCAAGGCTTTGGGCATGTTTTTTTATGAGAGTATAGCATTATAACATGATATAAAACTCAAAAAAGTTTATTTTACATGATATTGCCCCTTTTAAGGAAGCTATAAGCCAATAATTTTCTGTTTTAGACCTCTGATGTAAAGAGAGATGTCAACTGTCCTGCAAGCTTTCATGGGAGACGAGCATTTCAGAGTGTCGTGCTTCATTCAGAGGTGGCCAGGCATGAGCAAAGTGRAACAAAAGAGCCTGTGACCCATCCTGTAAACACAAGGCCTCTCTGGGTTTCCAGCGGACCCATGAACTGATTAAAAAGTGCTAAACAGAGCCAATTATTTCTCCCCATCAGAAGCAAGGGCATCGAATTTTGTCGCAGTATACAAGTGTCTCAGATTGTTAGGGTCCTAACAAAGAAGTGCTTTTACTGGAAAATGTTCATTTACTCTTATCTGCAGGAGAAGTTTTCTGACTTTCTGCCACTTTAWTGTCTAATTTAAATCTCTTTATTTTTCCAGGGATATCCGCAATAATGAAATATCCTGGGCTATAGAGGACTCCATTAGTGTTTTTGATGGAATGAAGAAGCTGAACACACTGTGAGAACACTCAAACTGTACAGAGGAATGCATTGATACAAAYATTATGTTAAATCTTGTTTTATTATTAGCATGTAAATTTTAGGCTAAATTTTCATTAGTGTCTTGTACAGTGTATATAGTTTTTATTTGATTTTCYCTGAGAAATGTTTTGCTGTAGAACTGTTAGACAAAAAGATGTCTTTACCCACACATTAACACTTTTTTATTTATTATTGTTGTTCAGGTTTTTTTCTAACTTTGCCATGAAATGCTAGTCAAAAGTTTTAATTTAGTCTTGATAAAAGTTGTCAACCTGTGGTTCCAGACTGATAAAATAGAACCACAGTAGCAGGTTTGTAAACTTCTGTATAAATGTATTTTTATTTTACAGAAATCTACAACGAAACAAAATCAAATCAATCACCAAGAAGGCGTTTGAGGGCCTCGAGGAGTTGGAGCATCTGTAAGTTTAAAACCACTGCTCATTTGTTTTTGTTCTTTTCTATCCAGCTATTTTGTTAACTCTTTAAGATTTGTTGTTGTTGCTAAATTGTTTAGATTAGCCTTTTTAATAATACCATCCAGACATTTGAATCAAATCTTATGTTGGTTTCTAATGGGAGTTTCTGTCTTGTCTGCAGGGACCTGAGTAAAAATGGCATCATGTCCATACACCCTGAATCGTTACTACATTTGAAGCTTAAAGATTTGTAAGTWACTAAATGAACCTTAAAGCTCTCGAGCAGATCAGCATGTGTTCAGCTTGAATTAATCTCAATTTTAAAAAAAGATGATTGGGTATAACTGCAATTAATGGGCGTGATTTATGTTACACATTCAAAAAAAGATTGTATCTTGTTTTGTTGGTTATTTACTGTTGCTGTTTTTAGAGACTGGACTTCTGTTTCACTTGTGATCACATGAGTAATTGTTGGATTATTAGATTGTCTCACTGGTAATACATATTTTTAGCTCCATTGGATGAACCGAGTGTACTTATTGAGCTCTTGAGCTGCAGCTGCATGCACTTATTTAGGACAGCTGGGTCCTCCATGTSAGGGGGAAACATCTCTTTGCAGTTTTGATCTGTACATTTTTAGGGAGGTTTCTTGAACTGAAAAAACACCRGCACATTAGGATGCTGCTTTAATAGCTCTGTTTGCACTGTATGAAGTGACTTACCGCTTACCTACCGTCTTCTTAGCTGGATAAACAAAGGGAACACCCTTTTCTATGAAATTAAGTTTAGGGATGTTTTAATAAACYGTTCCAAGAAGCAGAGGTTTCATGTGAGCTGAACAAACAAGCTGTAAACTGTCTTTAGAGTCATTTTAAAAACTTTGTGCACAATTTGCAAACTGTAAGCATAGATGCAGTGGTGGGCACAGTTCCCCTAAAGCAGAGATTCTCAAACTGGGGTCCCAGGACCCCCATGGGTCCATGAAAGGCATATTGCGGGTCCTCAAAAAATTTCACTAAATTGTTAATTTGGTTTTTATTTTTAAAAATGCATGAAAAACAATGATCT